AAACTTTTTATTTAACATTAAAGTGTCTTGGAACCTGATGCCATAAGCAAATAATGCCAGTGACATCGGCCATGCTGGAGACAGTGCGATCAAATACACACCAACCAATCCTGCGTATTTTGGACATACAAAAAAATTTGGGGACACTAGAAATCCAGTTATAAGAAAGATTCTTGGTCATGGAATCCATAAAGATGTCGTGGTATTGCATCTTGGGGTAATAAAAGAAAATGACTTTCACAAAGATCCAAAACTTTCTTACAAAAGTGGAAGAAATTGCTTGACTGCATCTCAAATGGAGAGGACGCCTCCTTGTTACAGACACTGTTCTGTCTGTTCTTTCTTTTGTCTTTTATCTTGATCTTCCCTTGTTTACATAAACAATTAATACGACCATTAAATTGATTCACCGCATTCTTAGTCATTTAATCGTATTAATTATAATATGATCAGTTTCTTTTTCTTTCTTTTTTTTTACAGCACCAAATCACAACAACAGTCACCTTAAGGTGCTTTATATTGTAAGGTAGACCCTACAATAATACATACAGAGAAAAACCCAACAGTGGGAAGGAAAAATTCCCAACCATCCAGTTAAGGTTGTGAACTTCAGAGCAGGTTTTGCATCATCAGTGTTTACTACTATCTAATCTGTAATTCACAGTTTTGACGAGGCAGAAGTCGTTTAAAATCTTTGATTTCAACATCTTTCTCTGGATTGGTGCTGGCACTGGTTAAAGCATGTCTCCACTTACACTCAGACACACTGGGAAAGTTCTGGGTTGCTTTCAGACTTTAGGAAACAAATGCTAAAAATATTAGAGCTTGACTTTATCTCTGTGTTTCTGGACCTCCAGGCTGAGCATGTTCCGCCGTATGACGTGGTTCCCTCCATGAGGCCAGTTGTCCTGGTGGGACCCTCCCTGAAAGGTTATGAGGTAAGAAAGACTGCTGCTCCTCCAGCAGGCTGACTCAGCCTTTTTTTCCTCCACAAAAGATGAACGAATAAATGAGTCGTTTTTATCATGAAGGATGAATTCACTAGTCCTGGTGAAAGAGACCACTCAGAAGTCCTTTGTTCTAGACGCAGATTCTTCGGTATCCTTATGGGATCCTATTAAAAATAAGTAACACTTTGGAAATAACAAGTCTGATAGTGCTCTTCATTCAAATTCACTGTTACTTAGTGAGGACATCCTTAATTTAAGACTGTGACGTGACATTCGTTTTACAGCAGAATACTGTTTTGGGTGCTTCCCAGTGTGAGCAAACTTTGAAAGGACAGAAGGGGCTGGAGCATGCTGATGAATTCACAGCTTTTAATTGTGCAGTCGGGCTGACATTTCGACAGCAGTGTGTCTTCATCGGTCAGAATGAACAAAGAAGGCAACCAAGTATTACCTCAGACCGTGTCTGCAATCTTTATTGGACAGTAACGGGAATTTAAATCTATTGGATAAAGAACTCGGCAGGGGCGAGTTGCCTTAACGTGCGTCCATATGGGCCATGCAGACTCGTGCCTTACATGAATATTACATCATGTTGTAAGTTACTGAATTTCAATCCCAGTTAATTCATTCTGCGATGAGCGTTCCCGGGGTAACGGCATCCAAATCCAAACTGCTCGTCGATAATCGGTTGGAACGACAGTGCAAAGCATAAAGGAGGCCAAGGACGCTGTGGAAGGTGGGAGTGCTGAAGTCAGTTGTCATGGAATCACAGTCCTTGTCTCCCGTCCTGGTGTTGCCGTGGTAACAACCTTCTGGTTAAACTGCATCAGTCTGAGAAAGTGGAGCATCGCTTGAAATTAGAAACATAAAATAATGTGTACCGTGCCTCGAGATACTTTTCATGTCCCAAACCTTTAGTTTATCTGTTCATGCAGTACCCTACAGGTTTTTTATATGTGTGAGCAATAATATTATTTATTTATTTATTTATTTTGCCAGAGCCACAGAGTTAACATGTAATCACGTGGTAATTAATAGGTGTCACGTGCAATTTTTCAAGGTTGCATGAAGCTCTGTGCAGTTGCACAAAAAGATGCACTTTGAAAATTCCTTTAAAAAAGTAAAACTCACTTGGTTGAGTAAGGTGGTCTGGGTTTGATGTGTCATTGCCCCTCGCTCACAGCCAACTTTCTTGTCTACTATCTACTACTGTGACATAAAATACAGGCAACTTGCATTATTGTAATGCACTGTTTTCATGTCTGTCTAAAGCGTCTGTTAATGACCTCACATCTCCCTGAAATGCTACTGCAAGGCTTTTAACTCACTCTCATAAATCTTCTCACATCACCCCATTATTAAATGATCTGCAGTGGCCTCCTCACAGCTTTAGCTTTCAGCTTAAAATCTTGTTTTCTTTCACTTGTGAGGTGAGGCTCTGTGTTGTTGATCTACTTCACCCCTATTCTCCAAACCAGTTTTTAAGGTCCACAGATGAGGATTTTCTTGGCACCCATCTAAAGGGGGACTGTGGATTCCACACCTCAGCTCCAAAACTACACTTGTGTAACAGCTTACACAGTTACACAAGTGTGACCTCTCGTCATGGTATATGTACACTTCATAGTCTTTAGGGGAGAGTTGATTTTTCTACAACTAATATCTTCAAAAGTGGTAATATAGATGGATAAAGAGCACTACGGAAAATGTTTCCTTTTCCTCAACTGTCCCTTTAAGTAAATTTAAACAAGAACCTCAAATGTGAGTCGAGCATTTATGTATTTTGACATTTTTATAGGACTATTTATTCCTTACAACTGCTTTGTGTTACAGCCCAATGGCCACGAAGCCCCTGTCAACCCAATGTGACTGTCAGTGTACTTTGACCAATTTAGAACGACAACCGAATCGAATAGTCGCCTTTGCCTGATTTTATTCACGAATCCATGTATTTCTTTTCTGAGTCAAAGACCTTGGGAAGTACAAGTGTGTGTCTTTGAGGGTAACTTTGTGAACTTAAACTTCTGTTTCAGTTCAAGGCCTCAGAGCTGCAATCATGTTCACCAGCCAAGGCTATATATTCAAAGCTACACCCAAATTTATCACCTGTGCACTCGTCTTTGCGACATCGCTCACTGAAGCTTTTGATCGCTTTATTTAATGTGACCCACGTTCATCAGCCAGGATGGAAAAAAAAAAAGCTTTTCACAGGGTAGACTATAGCTTGGTCAAGTGTGTAATGTAAAAATGTGGCTCAGCCAGACACTGACCATCAGAATGAATAATGGGGGGGCTAGCTTCTTTTACTGCCTGCTCTGCTCCATAGCTGCATAAAATTGCTCATGTTATGAGCCTCTATAGCCACCTTTTGCTTGCTTGGTACTGCCATAGGGTGTGCTGTGTGGGTAGTGGATAATTTTGCAGACCCAAAGGCAGACAAGTGGATGCTAAAGTTAAACTTAAAGCGAGCCTTTTAATGCTGAAGTTCAGAGATTAACAACTGGTTAGCAAATGGTAAATAGCCTGATTCTTATATAGCACTTTTCTACTCTGCTTGATCACTCAAAGTGCTTTAAATAGCAGCGCAGGGTAGTCATAGGACAAGGCCAACAATGCTAGAGAACACACAACTATGCAAACAATGTAAAATAGGACAAGAGGAGACTGACATGATATATAGACAAGAAGTGGTGCATGAACAGGAAACAGGTGCAGCTCTAAACACAGCTGAAGACAATGGCTGTGTCCCAATCCAGGGTCTGCAGCCTTAAAGGCCGCATTTTAAGGCCGATTACGTCAC